AAAAAAAAAAAAAATTGTTCTTTTCTTTCTCAAACCTGCTTAACCAGAGAATTCCTTTACATAACACCTTTCAAGGAAGGGTATTAATGCCACAAAGATATACTTTTTCTGAAAGATCATTGGGGAAATGGGCATAATCTTAAAGAGTTCATAAAATTAAACTCTTAAAGAGTTCATAAAAATTAAATAAGAAATAACATTTATAAGAGTACCTTAAATAGGGCCTGGCCATATAACAGGTGCTCAGTAAATAAATAGTATGATTTGTGGGTTTGTTCTATTTATTCTTTATTTTTTAATAAACTTTTAATTTTGATGTGATTATAGAAATTGCATACATTTTGTAAGAAATAAGGGATCTTTGTAAATGTACCCCATTCCTCAAATGGTGATGCCTTACAAAACTGTGGTACAAGATCACAATCAGATTTTGACTTTGACACAGCCAACATATAAAACATTTCTATCACCATAAGGATCCCTATATTGCCCTTTTATAACCACACCTGTTTCCCTTCTATCTCACCCTACTCTCCATTCCTTACCACTTAACCCCTGGCAATCATTTATCTGTCCTCCATTTCTAAAATTTCATCATTTCAAGACTGTTATAAAAATGGAATCATACAGTGTATAACCTTGGGGTGGGCTTTTCCAACTCAACTCTATGAAGAGTAATCCATTTTAATGAGTGTGTCAATAGTTCATTCATTTCTATTGCTCTGTAGGATTCCATGGTATATACAGATGTATTACAGTTTAACCATTCACCTGTTTAGTAGTATCTAGGTTGTTTTCAGTTTGGGGCAATCATGAATAAAGCTGCTATGAATATTTGTATATAGATTTTTGTATGAACGTAAGTTTTCGTATCTCTGGAACAAATGCCCAGAATAGAATTGTTAGGTTCTATAATAGTTGTATATTTTGTTTTTCTCAAAACTGCTTAATGAGTTTCCAGGGTGGCTCTACTATTTTTACATTCCTACCAGCAATATATGAATAATTCATTTTCTCTGCATCTTCACCAGCATTTAATATTGTTTTTTTTTTTTTTTTTTTTTTTTGCAGTTTTTAGCCAGGGCTGGGTTTGAACCTGCCACCTCCAGTATATGGGGCCAGCACCCTACTCCTTTGAGTCACAGCTGCTGTCCTTGTTACTTTTTTTTATTCTATCCATTCTGATAGATGTATACTAATATCTCATTCTTTTAACTTGCACTTCCCTGATGGCTATGATGTTGAACATATCTTCATGTGCTTATTTACCATCTCCTTTTCAGTAAAATTTCTATTCATGTCTTTTCCCGTTTTTCTCCCTTTTTTACAAGAGATAGTAAAGGTAGTTTTTCTTATTTTTAAATTTGGATGGTCATGTTCTAATTCTTTGTCAAGTATGTGGTTTGTAAACATTTTCTATCAATCTATACCTTATCTTTTCATCCTCTTTTTCAATGAGGAAACATTTTTAATTTCAATGAGATTAGATTTGGAATTTTCTTTTTTTTTGGATCATTCTTTTGGTTTAAGAACTCTATACCTAGCTATAGATGCCAAACAGTTTCTCCTCTTTTTTTTTTTTTATTTGAGACAGAGCCTCAAGCTGTCGCCCTGGGTAGAGTGCCATGACATCACAGCTCATAGCACCAACTCCTGGGCTTAAGCCTCCCACGTAGCTGGGCTTAGCCTCTCAAGTAGCTGGGACGACAGGTGCCAGCCACAATGCCCAGCTATTTTTTTTTTTTTTTTGGTTGTAGTTATCATTGTTGTTTGGCAGGCTGGGCTAGATTCAAACTCACCAGCTCTGGTGTATGTGGCTGGCACCTCAGCCACTTGAGCTATAGGCACCGAGCCTTTTTTTTTTTTAAAGACAGAATCTCACTTTGTCTTTTGGGCTAGAGTGCTATGGCCTCAGCTTATCACAGCAACCTCAAACTCCTGGGTTCAAGCAATCCTGCTCCAGCCTCTCAAGTAACTCGAACTATAGACATGCACCACCATGCCTGGCTAATTTTTCTATTTTCAGTAGAGATAGGGTCTTGCTCAGGGTGATCTCAAACTCTGGGGACCTCTTGCCTAAGCCTCCTAGATAGCAGGTGTAAGCCACCACACCTGGCCTCCTAATTTTTTTTTTTAAGATTGTATAGTTTGCTCTTTAACTTCGTGATTTATTTTGATTTTATTTTGGATAGAGTGTAAGGCTTAGGGTGAGCCTCCTATGGATTTCCATCTGCTGTAGAACCATTGCTTATAAAAACTATTCTTTTTCTATGGACTTGCTTTTGTATCTTTGTCAAAAATTATTTGGGTATATTTGTATGGGTCTATTTCTTGGATCTCTATTCTATTCTATTGATTGGTATATCTGTCCCTCCACCAACACCACACAGTCTGAATTACCATAGCTATAAGTCTTCAAATCATGGAGACTTATCCACTTCCTTCACTCTTCTTTTTCAAAATTATTTTAGGTATTCAAGGTTCCTTTGCCTTTCCTTATACATTTTTAAATCATATTAGCTAAAGTTAAGGGCGGCGCCTGTGGCTCAGTAAGGCGCCAGCCCCATATACCGAGGGTGGCGGGTTTGAACCTGGCCCCGGCCAAACTGCAACCAAAAAATAGCTGGGTGTTGTGATGGGCGCCTGTAGTCCCAGCTACTCGGGAGGTTGAGGCAAGAGAATTGCTTAAGCCCAGGAGTTGGAGGTTGCTGTGAGCTGTGTGATGCCACGGCACTATACCGAGGGCAACAAAGTGAGACTCTGTCTCTATTAAAAAAATAATAATAAATAAATAATAATAATAATAAAGTTAAAATATTGTTGGCAGCCAGGCACAATGGCTTACTCCTGTAATTCTAGTACTCTGGGAGGCTGAGGTGGGAGGAAGATTTTTGTTTAACTGATTTTCTCTATTTTTCATTTTTCTTGGTCTTCTCTTTATTATTTTCTTTTTGTTTGTTGTGGGTTTACTTTGCATTTCTTTTTCAAGGTTATTGAGGTGTAAGCTTAAATTACTTAGACTACTCAGACTTTCTTCTTTCATTATGAGCATTAGCGCTGTAAATTTCTTTTAGCACCGCTTTAGTTGTGTTCCACAACTGTTCATATGTTGTATTTTCATTTTCATTTACTTCAGTTTTTTTTGTTTCCCTTAAGACTTCCTTTTTAACTCATGGACTATTTAAAAGTATGTTGTTTAGCATTCAAATATTTGGAGATTTTCATGTTATCATTCTTCCTCTTAGTTTGATCCCATTGTGGTCAAGAGAACACACTCTATAATTTCATTTTTTTTAAATTTGTTGAGGTTTGTATTATGGATCAGGCTATGTACCAAGGATAGTTATGCTGAGTACTGTATATCTTGACATATTTCCATGTTTGCTCAAACAGAATATGTATTCTAGCTGGGCACAGTAGTTCACACCTATAATCCTAGCACTCTGGGAGGCTGAAACGGGAGGATCACTTCAAGGAGTTAGGAGTTCAAGACCAGCCTGAAGAAGAGCAAGACCCTGTCTCTACCAAATATAGAAAAAGTGAGCCAGGCATGGTAGCAAGTGTCTGTAGTCCCAGCTACTACTCAGGAAGCTGACGCATACCTACTAGAATGCCTAAATGAAAAAGACATCATACCAAGTGTCAACAAGGATATTTCCCTAGCTGGTAAAGGGAAAATGACACTATCAATTAGGAAAACAGTTTAGCAGTATCTTTAAAAAGTTAAATATTCACCTGCTATACTACCCAATCCTTCCTCTCTTAGCTATTTACGCAAGATAAATGAAGGTATGTCCAAGGTGTTAGTTATAAATGTTCATATCTGCTTTATTTGTAGTAGTCAAAAATGACACAAAATGTTCACCAGCATTTAGACAGATACTCTGCAATAAAAGTAAATGAAATATTGACACACATAACAATATGGATGAATCTCAAAATAATTACGCCAAGTGAAAGAAGCCATATAATAAGATGCATATGGTATGATTCCATTTATGTAGCATTCTAAAAGAACAAAAACTGGCTCGGCACCTGTAGCTCAAGTGGCTAAGGTGCCAGCCACATACACCTAAGGTGGCGGGTTCGAATCCAGCCCGGGCCCACCAAACAACGACAGCTGCAACCAAAAAAAATAGCTGGGTGTTGTGGCGGGCACGTGTCCCAGCTTGGGAGGCTGAGGCAGGAGACTCACTTAAGCCCAGGAGTTGGAGGTTGCTGTGAGCTGTGATGCCACGGCACTCTACCCAGGGGGACAGCTTGAGGCTCTGTCTAAAAAAAATAAAATAAAGAATGAAAACTAATCTTTTGGAGATGATACAGATATTTAGTACCTTGGTGGTGGTGGTGGTAGTTTCAAAGGTTTATACAACAGACACTACAAAAGTTTTGAGATAATACAAAAATTAAGAAACATAAAATCATTTTGATTACTATATATTCTCAAAGTAATCACCATGACATTCTACATACTTTTGCTTTTTTTTTTTTTTTGCAATTTTTGGCTGGGGCTGGGTTTGAATCCGCCAACTCCAGCATATGGGGCCGGCACCCTACTCCTTTAAGCCACAGGTGCCGCCCTACTTTTGCATTCTTATCAACCATTTTGGAAAACACTCTTTCCACTTGTTTTCTTCAAGTGATGTAAGCTTACTTTTATAGGCAGGAACAGCTTCTTTAGGTCTGGAGAACCTTATGCACATACCATTTTTTACTGTAGGGAACAGGAAATAATCATGTTGGGCCAGGTCAGGACTGTAGAGTAGATGAGTCATAAGTTTAACCTCTGTGGACTACCGAACTGAATGGTTACATTGGCTGTGTGGGCAGACACATTGTCAGGGTAGATGTCCCCTTCAGTCCTGTCCTTAGTAAGTAGGTACATGATGGTGCAGCAGAGATAAGGCCTGCAATGAAACTGTATTGTGAATAAGGAGACTGTATCTGGCATCCAGCAATATTCTTTCTTTTACCAAAGCTCATATAGGCAATACTGCATGTACACACAATTAATCAATAATCTTATGACTAAAACCTTAAGCTCCAAGCCCCTCTCAGCTTGGCGCCCACAAGTCTAGTAATTAACTGATAACCATTTCACTAACAATATCTAAAATTATTCTTACACTGAGTAATCAAAAACAAAACCACAAAACAAGGTTCTGGGGAAATAAGCCATTTGAATGCTTAACCTTTAACAGACCATCTGGAGGCAGTCATCCATCTTAAGGAGTAGTTTGGAAATATCTGAGATATACAGGTACCTGCTTGCAGGCCTGCCCCCACGAAGTTTAGGCAATTAATCACTTCTATGTAATTAGGCCTTCAGCCACATATGGAGTTCTATCCAGGTTCTCTCCTTTCTAACTCACAAAAGACTTCAAATTTGCTGTCACAAAATGGAACTGTTTAAAGGTTTGCTTATAGGCTTTCCACCTATAACCTTTCTTAAAGCTTCCCAAAAACTTTTGGTAGGGACACTGTTGTGTGCCACTGAGCAGTAACAGTCCTTTGTTCCTCCAGAAGAACAGTTATAAACATGACCACCTTTGGAGAAGAAAGTTGCCACCATTTTCTTTCTGACACTTGAGGGCTGTTTCACTTTTGTTGGTGGATTTTCTTTCCTTTCCTTTCCCCTTCCCCTTTTCTTTTTGGGAAAAATCCACACCGTTGACTGATGCTTATTCTCTGGATCAAGTTCCATCACTAGTAACAATGTTAGAAATGCATCTAAACTTCTCTCTGTCAAGTCTGACCAGCATTTCTTTATACCATTCAACACAGATACACTTTTGCTTGTCTGTCAAAGTGTGAGGCACCCATTGGTATGAAATTTTCCTGACTCAGAAGTAATCATGCAGGATTTTGGACACCGCATGCAATCCAATCTATAGGGCTGCATCAATGTCCTTAAATTTCATTCAATTATTTTCATGAACCAATTTTTCCACAGCAGCAATGTTTTCCTCAGTCACTGTGATCACCAGACACCCACTCCTCTTCTCATTTTTCAGTGATATTTGGCCTCTTCTAAATTCTTAAAACCACCAAACGATTGTTGGCAGGAAGGAGTAAGATCCCCAAAAGCCCATTGCAAATGCTTAAACCTTTCAGGCTTGTTTCACCAAATCATAGAAAATCATCATGCAAAAGTGCTCTCTTCCCAGCTCTGATCCCGAGTCCTGCTCAGACAGAAATAAAAGCTCTCCCAGCAAAAACAATAAGCAAGTTGAAATTTGCACAGGTGTATCAGAAAAGACACCACAATAATGGGGCCGGGCATGTTGGTTCACATCTATAATCCTAGCACTTTAGGGAGGCCAAGGCAGGCAAATACCTTGAGCTCAGGAGTTTGAGACCAGCCTGAGCAAGAGCAAGACCCTGTCTGTACTAAAAGAAGAAAACTTAGCTCGGCATCATGGCATGCACCTCTAATCCCAGCTACTTGGACCACCGAGGCAGGAGGATCACCTGAACTCAGGAGTTTGAGATTGCAATTGAGTTAGACTGATGCTATAGGGTGACAAAATTAGACACTGTCTCAAAAAAAAAAAAAAAAGAAAGAAAAGAAAAGAAATGAAATAATGGACTATCACGCAGCCTCAAAACTATCCTTGTGATCTCATATGCTCATGAGATCTACAAGTTAAATATCTACAGTTTGGCTGGGTACAGTGGCTCACACCTATAATCCCAGTACTCTGGGAGACTGAGGCAGGAGGATCATTTGAGGCCAGGAGTTTAAGATCAGCCTGGTCGATACAGCAAAACCCCATCTCTACAAAAAAAATTGTGCCTGTATCCCAGCTACTCAGGAGGTTGAGGCAGGAGGATTGTAGGAGTTGGAGGCCCCAGTGAGCTATGATCATGCCAGCTATGATCCAGACTGGGAAATAGAGCAAGATCCTGTCTCTATTAAATAAATAAATATCACTTATATTAGTTATACCTCATTGAAGGTATAAAAAGAAATATAAGCTGCTGTTGTTATTGTTAGTAACTCACCAAGCATCCATTTTTCTTCTCCATGAAGTAAAAAGAATAACACTTGCCTCACAGGGTTTATTTGAAGATTTGTGTGTGTGCGTGTGTGTGTGTGTGTGTGTGCGCACATACCTCAGCTACATAATACCTCCATATCACTCTCTCACCCTTTACTAGGCCTTATTTTTCTTCAAGGCATATCTAGCAAGTTAATACTTATTTGTTTACCTCTCCCCACAGTACTATAAAGTACTTGAGAACAAGGACTTTATATTTTTCACTACTAACTTCCCAAATGCTTAAAACAATGCCTGGTACATTGTAAGCACTCAGCATATATATTATTAAGTGATTTAATGGATGAGCAGGTGTGTTTTTTAACTACAGTGCCTGACACAAAACATGTGATTCAATTATGTTAATTCTAATTCACCATCCCCTACCTCTTCTTTTTTTTCCCCCTGCCTCTTCTATGGGACTGAAAAAGTTGTTGGGCACTTTCAGATAACTTTCCCGATATAGTTGGCAGTCTTGATGGCCCATTCTCCTTCACTACCTTTAAATGGTTAAATATAGCAGGCAAATGTTTTAGAGCATTTAATAGATAGATTTGTTCTTAATTCTAACAAAAACCTTTCCTTCTTAAGAAAGTCATGTCTTCTATCTGGGCATGGTAGTATGCACCTATAGTCCCAGCTACTCAGGAGGATCCCTTGAACACAGGAGTTCAACACTATAGTGTGCTATAATGATGCTGTGAATAGCCACTGTACTCCAGTAGCCTAGGCAACATAGTGAGATCCTGTTTCATTAAAAAAAAAAGAAAGAAAGAAAGAAAAAAGAAAGTGATGACTTTAATCTCTGATCATGCTGTGACTTGAGAAAATATTATTTTGCTTCTCTTTTTCCCCCCACAGGGTTTATCCATGGCTTAGAGGACTGGGTTATACATCCTTGGGTATATTTTTATTAGGATTTTTATTTTGGAATATAGATAACATCTTTTGTGAGTCACTGAGGTAAGATATATTTTCATTCCTTGAGAAATATTTTTGGAGGAACTCTGGTTAATCAAATGTTGACTACATCTTTGAAACCTGCCTAATCCACTTTATTGAATAAATAAGAATGATTTATAATAACCTTATGAAATAACATGTATATAAATTGGCACTTTTTCATATGCCTGATGTTATTTTCTTAAAAAGATAAGTGTTCCTTTTACCAGCAATTATGTATTGACAAGAGTTTGAGTATTAGACTTAACTCTTTGGATTCTAGTCTGTCACTAAGATGCTATCCTTCTAGGCCTCACTATCCATAAAGTGAGCATGTTAAATAGATTAAAGTAGTGGGTCCTTCCAACTCAAAATTCTCAATTTTGAGAATGACCTAACAATTCTGCATAAACAAAACTGAGGATACAGGAGTATACTGAACAAAACCACAGGGAGACAATCAGCAAAATTCAGAACATCAGACATCTACGGATAAGTAGTCAGATCCCTTCAGTAAACAATTGGCACAGGGGGAGAAAAGAGGGAGGAGAGACATATAGATTAAAAGACTTATGAGATATTTCAGCCAAATATAATGTGTTGGCCTTTTTGGAATCCTGATTCAAACAAACCAACTGTAAAAAAAACAAATAAGGTGGGGTGGCGCCTGTAGCTCAGTGGGTAGGGCGCCGGCCCCACATACTGAGGGTGGCGGGTTCAAACCCAGCCCCGGCCAAACTGCAAAAATAAATAAATAACAAAACCATTAAATAAAAAAAAAAATAATAATAAGGTTGAGTGGTGCGGTGGCTCACGCCTGTAATCGTAACACTCTGAGAGGCCAAGGCAGTTGGATTGCTTGAGCTCAGGAGATTAAGACCAGCCTAAGCAAGAGTGAGACCTCATCTCTACTAAAAATAGAGAACTTATCCAGCATGGTGGCAGGCACTTGTAGTCCCAGCTACTTAGGTGGCTGAGGCAAGGATCACTTGAGCCCAAGAGTTTGAGGCTGCTGTGAGCTCTGATGGCACCACAGCACTCTAGCCTAGGCAGCAGAGTAAGACTCTGTTTCAAAAAAAAAAAGAAAAATAGAATGTATATTGCTCTACTAAAATGATGACTGTATGTAGGACACAGGAAAATCTTGTATGCAGTTTCTTGAGTGGATAGCTAAGTAGACTAGTGTTTCACAAAGCATGTACTGGAAAATACTTGTTGCAGTGAGTGGGTTAGTAGGTTAGTTGAAAAACTAAAGATAACTCTTTATTGTAGGACTTTTCAAAGCCTTTAATGTGTTAATATACATTAAAAATCTCCAAGAGGGTAATAAATTATATAATGTTTACTACATTTATTTGATAGAGTAATGATTTCTGCCACAAATTTATTATTCCTCAGAATACACTTTAGAAAACAATATGGCAGACTACAGGAGACTTAAGGAAATTAAATAATTTCCATATTTCAGAATGCTGTAAGACTTCCAGCATTAGTTGTTAAACATTTAAAAAATTAACATGGTGATTTTTCCTCCTCTCCACACAGGAACATTCGAAAGAGGGCACCACCTATCATAGGTACCACCACACAATTTCATGCGTGGTGGCATATATTAACTGGCCTTGGTTCTTATCTTCACATCCTTTTCAGGTAGGAAATAAAGACTTTTTTAGCTTGGAGTCTTTTTTTCTTTATTCTTCAAATAGGGCAGTATACATATAAAATGTTAGAAACAGAATCAGAACTTCGTTCCAGCTTTTTGTCTGCCACTGACTGACTTTAAGCAATCCTCTTGCATTCTCTAAAGCTCAGATTTCACATTCTTAAATTGAGGCCATTGTACTAACTGACCCATATTAGTAAATCATTCATCTTCTTTTTTAGTAGTAAGATATAAATTTTTTAGGTTTCTTGTTGATCAGCAAATTTCAGTTTATAGAGAACAAATTTAGAAGAAAAGAAACAACAGCCAGATCCCCTGCATAGGTCACTATGAAAGCTAGTACCCAAAGTCCCCAGCTTAATCGGTATCCTCTCCCTAAAATTAATTGGTTGCCGCTTCTCTCCTCTCTCCTTCCTCCTCTCCTAATAAAAAGTCTGTTAGAGGTTAGCCATTTATAGAAAAATCAGACTCAGAGCTCTCACCAATTGCCCCATCCAACAAACACACCTTCATATCACTGTTTCTCCCCCTAACCAGGCCTTATTTTTCTTCAAAATATTTGTAAAAAGCTGTGTATTTATTTGTTTATCTCCCCGAACTATACTGTAAGTTCCTTGATAACAGGGACTTATATTTTTCACTGCTACCCTCCTAAATGCTTAGAATAGTGTCTGGCACATAGTAAGCACTCAGTATATATTGTTAAATAATTTAATGAATGGATATATAAATACTGATCTCTTTACCAATTGATCAGGCCATATTTAAACTCAAATTCTCAGGAATTGAGAGCTGAAATACTTGTAGAAAGGGAAAGAAAATTTTCCTTTGAACAAATGTGAAAATTTACTCAAATGAAATTTTAAAAATGCCTTCCATGATAACATTTGCATCTTATCTATCTGGAGATCAAGTTTTCATGCAACTCAAATTATCTAAATGGGGGAAATGAAATGTTCAATTAGTATAAAGTTTTAGAGATCTGCTGTACAACCTAGTGCCTACAGATAACAATACTATACTGTACACTTAAAAATTTTGTTAAGAAGGTAGAGCTCAAGTGTTACCACAAAAATAACAGGGAGTATGAGGAAACTTTTGACGATGATGAATTATGTTTATTACCTTGATTGTGGTGATAGTTTCATGAGCTATGCATATGTCCAAACTCATAATATCATATGCATTAAATATGTGCAGGTTTTTGTATATCAATTATACCTCAATAAAAAGCTGTTATTAAAAAGGGTGGATTTGAAACTGAGATACAGTAATTTAATAACTGGCATATCCTGTATGACTAAACTAAAAGAAATGAGCAAAAGCATAAATTACTAGCATCAGAAGTGTAAAAGAAAACATCACTATAGATGCTGCAAATATAGAAAGATAAAAAAGATATTTTAATATGATGAGTACTTCTGTTTATGTTAGAAATCTCCCATAATAAAAAGTTTGCATTTTCACTTAAGCCTAAGAATTTAAGGTTACTGTGAGCTATGATGCCACAACACTCTACCAAAGGGTGACATAGTGAGACTCTGTCTCAGAGAAAAAAAAAAAAAAAGTTTGCATTTTAAGCTCCTACTCTTCATGACAGTCCTGTGAGGCAAGTATTATTTTGTGCTTGAGGAAAAACAAGTCAAGTATCTCACGTGACCTCATGGCCAATTAGTGTTATCACCTGATTTCAAGCCCAGAGACAGACTCCCTAAACCTTAGAAATTATCTAGCATAACATTTTTATTTGATGGTGAAAGAAACTAGGGCCCAGAGACAAGTGACTTCGTGATGGTAACTGGCCAGTTAAGTAGAGTACACTATATTGGCTAAAGGCTAAAAAGAACCTAAATTCAAATATTGCTTCTATCATTTACTAACTGTGGTAGCTTGAGTGAAATATTTGCTCTTACAAAGACCATTCCTCATGTACAAAACAGGAATAACAACCACCCAGTCAGAGTAATTTAAAAATGAGACGTATATTGCTGGAGCAATTCCTCTCCCCACGTTGTAGGTACTTAATGTAAAGTTGGAAGGGGAGAGGTATAGCCAGGCCTGGACCCTGGCATCTATGCCTGAGTTCATGACTCTTTCCTGAACAAAAAGAAAAAGGTGGTGACTTTATTTTAGAGGTAAACATCTGAAAAAGTGTTAAGATTCTGTTTTAAAACAATAGTCTATTCTTTGGAAAATAATATTTGACGCTCCTCTTACTATTCAGTTTGGATACAGTAAAGTGGCATCACAGCCACATTAAATAACACAAATTTTCTTCTCATGCTCTTTCACCTTTTCTTTCTCTTATTTAAAATACAGATTGAGTATCCCTTATCCGAAATGCTTGGGACCAGAAGTGTTTCAGATTTCAGATTTTTTTTTCGGATTCTGGAATATTTGCATATACATAATGTGATATCTTGGGAATGGGACCCAAGTCTAAACACGAAGTTCATTTATGTTTTATACATACCTTATCCACATAGCCTGGAGGTAATTTTATATAATATTTTTAATAATTTTGTGCATGAAACAAAGTGTGTGTACATTGAACCATCAGAAAGCAAAAATGTCATTATCTCAGCCACCCATGTGGACAATCTGTGGTTGTTTAACATCACCATCATCTGAATTTACATTTAACAGTAAAAAATATGACATACCATTAATATAGTGGAAAAAATAATATGTTCAGTCAGGATAACTAAGCAGCACAGCAGCATCACAAGAATGCCTCTATCACCTGTTAACAGCAGAAACAAACAATGGCAGGCTTTCAGTCTCTACTGTGTTTTGATTAAAAGGTTACTGTACACGGCATTTTATTTTTTTAGGTGATAACATCAGAAGCAGTTGAGGTACCAAAAACTGATTCCCCAGGGAAGAGGAGGCATTCTGCTGGATAGCTTTTTAAAATGTTTACTTCAGAATCACCTGCCTCATTAACAGTGTTTTTTGTCTAAGAAGTCTTCTCTGATGTTATAAATAAACATCACCTCTTGTTCTGTTATGAATCCACACTGCTCTAGTCCATCAGTAAGTATTTTGACTGCAACCCATTATGTGAGGTCAGGTGTGGAATTTTCCATTTGTGCCATCATGTCAACACTCAAAAAGTTTTAGATTTTGGAGCATTTTGGACCTCAGATTTTCAGATGAGGGATGCTCAACCTGTATTATAAAATTATGTTTTGCATATGTACTCATGATATATTGTACATAACTATTCAAATATACTTAGTTTATTATACATGAAAATATATCGCTGTATGATATGGACAGTTTCGTGAATATTTTAGGGATAAATTCAATTATATTTCACTATATACACTGATTTTAGAATTTGATTTCATCTCCAGAGGTGAATGACTTTAAAGCTACAGTCCCCAAACCTCAGGCTGCAGACTGGTACCAGTCCATAGACTATTAGTAACTGGGCCAACAGCAGGAGGTGAGCAGTGGGCAAGCAAGCAAAGCTTCATCTATATTTACAGCTGTTCCCCGCTGCTCACATCACCATCTGAGTTCCGCCTCCTATCAAAGAAGCAGTAGCATTAGATTCTCATAGGAGTGTGAATCCTACTGTAAACTGTGCACACAAGGGATCCAGGTTGCCCACTCCTTTTGAGAATCTCATGTTTGATGATCAGAAACCATTCCCCCCACATCCCATTTGGGGAAAAGCTGTCTTCCTTGAAAGCAGTCCCTGGTGCCAAAAAGGTTGGAGGCTGCTGCTTTAAAGGATACTATGAGGGAGACTTTTCTGTTATCTTACTGGTTCTCTCATACCTGTAGTTAATCCTGAGAGAGCTAATATACCTACTTATAAAATACTCTAAGAATACTCCAATCCTTACTATCTGCCATGTATCTTTAAAAATGGAAAAGCTAATTGCGATAAGAATTACATAAAGCATTAGTGGAATGCTCACTACTAAAGGACAGACATCCTGAGGTCACAGTCTAAGAGTTGATCATTTCTCTGTATTTCTTAGCATTTTGCCAAGTGTTCTGTACAGAATAGGTACTCAACAGAATAGATGCTGAATGAACAAAGGATATACTAATGTTTCTTCTTTGTATATGCAGATGCACTGTGGTTACATTTGCCACTAAGGGCAAATTAAAAATTACGTTGAAGAGTTTTCCCCCTCCCTCTTTTCTTTCAGTTTATATACAAGAACACTTTATCTGAGATACAGGCCAAAAGTGAAGGTAAGTCCACTTCCTAGGTTTTGTGTGTGTGTGTGTGTGTGTGTGTGTGTGTGTGTGTGAGGGGGAGGTGTTTGGAAGGATAGGTAGAAGTGAAAGAAGAAGAAAAGGAGTATAGCAAAGTAATGGAGTGAGCACAGACTTTGGAACCAGAGGCACTGAATCTTAAGTCTTCCACTTACTACTATAGTATCTTAGACAAGTCTCTTCTCTTTAAGCCTTGCTTTCTTCAACAATAAAATAGAGTTGTTAATATAGCTACATTGCAGAATAGTTTTAAGGAACAGAAATGACTTAAATGTCACCTCCATCTTTGACAAAGCAGATGTTTAATACATTTAAGAAAATTAAATAAAAATACTTTCTGAGATATGGTACAAGTCAAGAAGGAATATACTGTGCTCAGGCTACTAATACCTGGACAGTCACTAACAAACCTACCAAGCTCTATAGTCACAGCCCCATGGATTCTTTCCTATTCTTTTTCAAGGATAACCCAGAACACTTTTACCTTCTCTTATTTTGTCCTAACTTATTTCCAAACAGTTTCTCTTCGGAATCTGGCCAGTGATCCTGTTTGAGCCTCTCAGGAAGCACTGATGAATTATTCCACCAGGAAAACAAAACAACACCTGCCAAAGGCCTGGCAGAATAAATAAAGAAATCCGTAAAGATCTACACGTTTAAATACATCATAACCATTGCAGCAGAGGAGGGACTTTCTTACTAATGCTGCCAGCCACACAGAAAATGAGGAATGGGAGCTGCTGCGTGTTTAGCTCATGGCTTTATCTCATTTGTCCTCCTCCTCCTCCTTTTACCCTAAAATGTTTATAAAGAAACAGATATGTATATGTATATACGCAAATGCCGAAAAAATTGGGCTTTTCTTTACAGGTTAACAGTTTGTGCTGGTTGTAGGAAATTAACCTTTTTATGACAAGAGTTGCACGTGAATTATACCTTTCTTAATATTTGATTAAATAATGAAATTGGTCAGCTAAGGACTGGCAAAACCTTATATCCAAATGGTCAGCCATGAAGGAACACTCAGCTGTGTCAGCTTTGATTTATATTGTTTTCTCATTAACCTCATGGATGATTTTCCAAGGTAAAAACAGAGCTAGCTTTGGGATTCTGTGTCATCCTTCACTGTCTGTCCCAATGCTAGTCGGAGTGACCTGCCACTGGGTCCTACACTTGTCATATCCTAGGATTTATGGTGGGCTCTGGGGCATCCATTTTTGGTATGGCCACAGCCAGGCAGAGTGGATGGGTCATCTTGTAACCTTCTGCAGGTCCACAAGGACACCTACAGAATGTTTCCTTTGATCTTTGCCAGTCTTTAAGTTGTCACTTTTTTTATGGCTAGGCAAACATAACCGGTGATCTAACCTTCCCGTATCCCACCCTTCTAACATAACTTGTTTGAAGTTATCAGAGAATGTCATTACACTCTGATTTTTTTTAACCATGCAGTATTTTCCAGGTCTCAGAGAGGTCATGGTTATGCCCTGGGAGGCATGTCAGGTTAACTAGAGCTAAAAGGATCAGGATCCTATTTGCCTAAAGCTTATTAAAATACCTGTTCCTTCTTCTTTTTTTTGAAGGAAACAGATATAAGGGTTGAGAATAGCTGTAACTAACTTGTAACTTCCGTAACACACAAAAATTAGGGTGCTAAGAAATGATAGTAAAATCTCATCTTAAGGTAAACAATTCTAATTTGTACTTGAATATATAAAAGCTAAAATCATTTTTCACAAACATAACACCTACCTGACGTAAAAACCTGATTTGACTCCTTTGCTCATTTATCACCATATTTGTAATACTGCACTATTTAGCATTTTACAACTTTTTCTTTGCCTTATAAGTTATTATAAAATCCAGATTTTTTTTTACCACATGGTAACATTACCCAAGATTAAATCCTGAGCTACAGCTTCAAAAGGAAAATCATTTTTTCCATATGCAAAGATAACAAACACTTCTGTCATTTTTCCAGTATTTAGTAAGTAGCCTTGGTACAAATGTAAAACCAAAAAATATTTTGTTGTTTTTCTTTACCTATTGGCCTCAGTTTTAGTCAAAGTGTTATTTTCTTTCCCTTAGCGTGCCAATATGCCATTAGGATGATCCTTTCGCCTGCTTTTATGGTCCTCTAGCAAGGAAAACACTTAGCAAAACATTAATTAAGGGAACTCTGGTTCTACCTTAGGAAGACATGGAACAGTTTCGATACACAGGCCCCTAAGACTGTTTTTTCTTTTGCACCAAGATTCTGACTTCTAGCTACATTTCATCTGGGCTATCAGCCATTGTACATTTTTTAATTCATTCACTTTTTCATACCATTATTATCTTATACTTTTTAGTCAGATACACTTCTGCATAAAGAATCTGTATACAGGGCGGCACCTGTGGCTCAAGGAGTAGGGCATAGCCTCATATGCCGGAGGTGGCGGGTTCAAGCCCAGCCCCGGCCAAAAACTGCAAAAAAAAAAAAAAGAATCTGTATACAGTGTAGGAACAAAGGTACATCCTTCATGATAATGCTGCTAAACATTATAAGACTAAGGTTCTACAATATCAAAGTCAGGTTTAAGGTACAGAGAACACACCATGATTCTATGGCCATTTAGAGCAATTTGCAGAATGAGTGATTCAGCCACCACCACCAGTGGTCACTTGTTGAATAAAGTTGTCTAGCATCACATTAGAGAGTCATTTGTATCCCAGCATGACCTGTAACAACACTATGGCCAGTTTTTCAAAGACCCTTGTGAGAAGAGACAGCATGAAAGCTCCACATAAAACATTTTAGGTGTGGGGTGACACCTGTGGCTCAAAGGAGTAAGGCGCTGGCCCCATATGCTGGAGGTGCCGGGTTCAAACCCAGCCCCAGCCAAAAACCGCAAAAAAAAAAAAAAAAAAAAAAAAACATTTTAGGTGGGTTGAAACAGAGAGATGAGAGGAGAACCAGGCTCCTTAATTTTCCAAGTCAACTGTGCCTCACACCTGGCTTGCTTGTTAGCAACTAAGTAGCACATTCAAGACTTTATGTTGGTGCCACATTGTATGGAAATCACTGGTGACCTACAGGATATTGCTAAACCTTTATTTCAATGCTTTTTTTTTTTTCCTCTAGGATTCTGAGTGGATAGTATAGAGTTGGATTCCTGCCCAATCCCTTCCCTTTTTCTTGGAAAACTTCATGTTAACTAAAGTACACAAAAAGCCAATTTCCTACTGTGCAAATAATGGTTTGTTTGCGGATTACCTGATGTGAAAGGTGCTCATCTGTGAGTCGTACAGCCAAGGGCAAAAAAACAAATATTTAAAAAATATTTTTAAAAATATTACTTTGTAAGGATGTGAAAAAAGCAATTTGCTTACATATTTGAATATCCTTCTTATACCCTATTATTACTCTGGAAAACTGACAGCAATTTTACTTTTTTGTTTCCAAAGAAAAGCTATGTGAAAGGTAGTTGTTAATCGGGTCACTCTACCACCTCCCCCACCTTGGTGCGTGCATGAAACATCCCCACCACCTGACATGATCATTTTTATCCTTGTGATATTATATACATTGATGATTAATAGGAAAAACATTTGTTTTTTAATAATCTACAAATGAGAACCCAAATAGTGGTATTTGGTTTGGCAGAATTAGATCAAATACTATGGTTTATCCATAATGCAGAATTTGAGGACAGTAAATTTGAGCTTTCCTTGCCCTATGAAGGAATTGTATTATAATAAGGAAAGAAGATATAAGTCAAAGAAAATTAAGAGACCCCAAAACTTCAAGTATACAATGTATGAAAATCTTGATCCATCTGACTGGAAAATTTCAGTGCCTATAAAAATTAAGTTCTATTATAATGTCAGCCAATTCTGAATTTAGCCAATGCCCCTAAAAGTGTCTAACAATTTAGCATAAAGTTGTCTTATGTGTCTTATGAGTTTGATATTACTTTGCTCTTGAAAATAATTATTTGTTGCCAAATTTGACAGTTTTAACTATCAACTCCATGTTTATATGATATGAAATTCTCTGGAACCGTGGTTTATGATGTGCTACTAGATAAGCATTTATGTAAAACTGATGTTTTAAAGAAAACCAGTTACAATTGGAATTTACAACTGTGTGGCTATTTGCAGATCTACCTCTGTCTGACATTTTGCCTCATATCAGTGCGATAATATAGTTTGATCACTTCGTCTTGTCCTTCACTGTCTAAAATTATAGCTTATTTATTATGCTCTAACCATTTGGAAATAACTAAAATTTGGTTAATAGTTAAACCTTTTTATGAAAGAACCTGTAAAATGAGGGGGGGAGGAATCACATCATCATGATCCATCTGACCGGAATATTTCAGTGCCATTTTTTAAACTGTTGCATTTCCTTTAAGAGTAAGAAAACAGGCTCAGTGCCTGTAGCTCAGCGGCTAGGGCACTAGCCACATACACCAAGCTGGCAGGTTCAAACTCAGCCCAGGCCTGGCAAACAACAATGACAACTACAACTAAAATTTTAAAAAAATAGCTGGACGTTGTGGCGGGCATCTGTAGTCCCAGCTACTTGGGAGGCTGAGGCAAGAGAATCTCTTAAGCCCAAGAGTTTGAGGTTGCT